ATTAAAAAAGTATATAAAAAAACTTAAGGATGAAAATTATATAAAATATCAAAATTAAGGACTAAAAATGAAATTTGCCCTTTTTGAAATTTGAATTGATTTGAATTGGAGCGGGCAATTGAAAAAATGGAAGATAAGACAGTTGACGCGAGAACAGAGGGGGATTTGCGCAATCAAAATTGCAGTGTTGGCCAAAACGACGTCGTTTTGGATAGGAAATCTTTTTTTTTTTATTTTTTTGGGGCATGAAGTGTACCGGCCGGAATTTTGTATACCGGTCGGTACACAAAATTTCAGCCGGTACACTGGATTTTGACCAAAACGACCGGATTTTGATTGAAACAAAATTTAACGTTATACCGTTTCGGTCAAATGTCAAAACCGATACGGTACGGGATTGACTTCTTTGGCCAAAATACAATTTTGGTTCCTTTTTGGTAAAATGGTTCTGGTCCCTTATCTTTCATAGATTTGAAATTTAATCCCCATATTTTTGATTCATCAATTCAGTTTGGTCCTAAAAGTTCTGATTTCTTTTAATTAAGTCTTTTTTTTTGCATAAAAAATAAAAATTTGGTAAAAGTAAATAAAATCTCAAGAAACTCATCCAAATATAAATAATATTAACGTAAAAATTTCACATTAATATCAATTAATTTCTAACCTATCATAATTGTTGGGGTATGCTGGTGATGTAGGTTGATGAGTCAGCAATAGTGATGATGTGGAGACTGATTAGGAAGACACCCACGGAAATGAGGAGGGGTTCTTTCGATGGCACCCGTCTCGCATGCACATGACTACATGCTACGGGCCATCTCGTTCTGTCCAGTGATGATATGACATAACAGGCTCCCAGTGAAGTTGCAGAACATAAATCCCCTGGCCAAGCTACTGGAGCCGAACAGCGATAGCAGACTTCTTGTAGACTTGAAATGATTACTCAAAATTTTGAAGTTGCCTTTACACGTAGGACACCATGACATAGTAGTAATGACACCAAATAAAACCTTTATCATCTTTAGTGAACATTTTCACCCTATAACGCACAATTCTTATGTTGAACACGAAGGGCGTAACAACCCTCCTTACGAAATTTCTTCAGGAACAAAGAAAACAAAAAGGATAAACTCAAAAATAGTGATGGGAGAAGGAAAGGTGTCTGCTTGGGGATGCTTATGGGTGGAACTCTCAATCTCGTTCTTTGATGCTAACCATGCAGCTTGATCGTCTGATGCTTGTGAAGAATTACATGGGAGATGGAATTGTAAGCTGTTGTTTCCCAACCATAATATCCTGCAAATCTGGGAATACTCTGCGATATTGGAGATTATCATGCGAGGCTAGAGGTCATTCTGCAATATTAGAGATACAGAGAAACGATGGTTTCTGGGTAGTTTTTAACATGCGGGATGATGGATTATAGGTGGAGTAATTTTTATGAGGGAGGAAGAAAGGGGATCTGGTGCGTGAGAAGAAAATCTAGGTTATTCTGTGTGTCCCTTTTTGAATGGCAAGGGAGGGATGATATATGTAGTTAGGGGTAGTTCTGTAATTCTACTTAATAGGACAGAAATGTACAGATGGGTTCAGATGAGTTGTCAAGCTTAAAGTGATTCCAAGCACTATTGACAGCTGCTCTGACATTAGCATCATGAGTTGTCCATTGGTTCCAACGATGGACTGGAAACTGGCCATTATTGGAAATTCTCCCAGCCATACGAAACTCTCTCTTTGGGGGATGCTTGAGTGCAATTGACAAAAACACCACCTGCATACTGATTTGGTAAGTTCCCCAAGCTCTATACGGGATTTTGGGAGATTTTGCAAGCAAATAGTGATCTTTCATAGCAGTTTCCAAGGTCATGAAACTTGTGTAACCACCCTTGCATTAAATATGGCTGCAAGTTGCTGATGGTGACTCAAGCGACATCTTCAATCAGTTTTCAACGGGATTTCTAGCCTCTAGACAGCATCAAAGGGTACTGTTCTAGGAGTTAAGTTTGTTTCCACACCTTCGCCACCCAGCCTTTTCTGGCGAAATCGAACAAAATCGCCAACGCCAAGCTTTGCTAGCGTGAATGCCTTGCTTCACTAGACAAGCAACATTCACCCATCCATGCTTGTCAAGCCACTACCACTATAGTTTATCCCAAGTAATTCCCATGAGCTTGGATTCACGGGCTTGCGCTTATCTGCGATAATAACAAAGTACATATAAGCATATATTTGAGTATTTTAGATATAAGCAATATTTGAATATACGCAATAAAGAAAGGAACTCCCTTATATATTGAGGAAGACCATGTGGGCAAATGGTCGCTGCTCCCATTTATTCGCTAGCCGTGGCAGGTGCTACTATATTGTTGCTATGCATGGTTGGCATTGTGCCAGAATAGAAAGTGGATGACATGGGTGTGCGCTGCGATATCATTATCCCGGACCAAACTTCGCTGGCTGGCGATACCTGCTAACTCTTAGAATATAAAAGAGATATGTTATAGATTGGGATTACCGTCGACTGGTAGCTTTGTCCCTTTGTATAGAAAGATGATGATATACATGACCGCCAGCCATGTTGCATAAGTATTAGGGGGTCAGCCATGGATAGCTTTCCCATAGCCAGAGGGACAACAGTAGCTAGCTTCGTCCATGGTTGGAGTGCGAACTATGTGGAATCGAAAAAACACTCCCACTAATCCGCCAAGTCACGAAAGGGTAAATCTCATTAAACCAGACTTCGCCACAGTGATGAAGATGTGATAGAGAGAGGTGGAGCTATCTCCATGGAAGGGGGACGCCAGCCACATCCATGGCCTCCGATATGACAAGGTGTGATACCACTAACAAATGCTAGCCCTTCTTGCCATACTCGCACCGTCGAGGGTGGTCTTGGTTGTTGTTGCCTATCGAGCACCACATCACCATACACGAGCAACCACCAAGGGACCACCGGCCACTACTTGATGGATTTTCATCGCTGGAGGGTAGCCATCCTGTCCAATTACAGGGCTGCAACTGTTACCGGCCTCATGCTAATCGTACCGAGTTGCGTTGACTCTTTTTTTGTTTTCGGGAGCCAATGAGATAGATATGTAGCAGATCTGGTCCTTTGTCCATCGTTGGGAGCTATGTCAATGTAATATGATCAACCTGTTGTCCATTGATGGGAACTAGTGATAAAGATATGTAGGAGTGGATGCCCGGCTCATTGTCCATCGTTAGGAGCTATATAGATCAGCCCATTGTCTTTTGATGGGAGCCATATAGCAAAATAGGCTCTTTGTCCATTGTTGGGAGCCGCGAGATACAGCAGAAAACATCGCTGTAGAAGACATGGCCGTCAAGAAGCGCCCAGCCATGTTGCCAAAATAAACTTAGCCATGTCTAACCATGTGTGTGGAGATAGATGTTGGAGTGAATCACATTCCGCGATATTTCTAGCGAAGTGAATAAGTGCCCCCTCTGGCGATGTTGATTCCATAGTAACAATTAGTAGAAAATTATAATCGCACATTGGATGTGGAAAGATAAGTGTTATGGTCCTTTGCTGATGTGGATCCGCACATCATTAGTTACACGACCATGCAAATTCATCTCTCAACAATAATCAATCAATTAATTATGCTTACAAAATCAATTAAAAATTTGATATATATAATCTATATAAATAGAAATTTAAAATCATCAATTAATTTTAAAAATAGTAATTAAAATATAAGGTTTGTTGGAGATATCCCCCAAGAAGATGTCCTGCAAAATATTTGTTTATTTATTAATGAGAAAAGTGTATATCAATCATATTTACAAAAATTAGATAAAAATTATTTCAAAACTACCTTATTTTAATAAATATGTATTGAGAAAAACTAAAATATACTAATTTTAAAAGAAAAAATAAGGCTCTTTTACTCTTCTTTTTGTTATATTTTATTAAAATGACATAATTTTAAATAATTTTTTGCCTAATTTTTTTACAAATTCAGTTAACAAATAATAATCTCTTTATTTATTTATTGTATTTATTTTTAGTTTTAGGTTGCACAGCACCATCTTACTTCCCTTCACCTACTTTGCCTATATATTTACAACTCGAATATAAGATTTTTTAAATTACTATTGAATTGTTTAAGTGTTGACAACTTTTTCAATGTTTGTTGTAAGGAGAAAATGCATATCAGTCTCGATTTTAAAAAATAATTTGAGTTTCAACATTAAACTATATCGTTTTATCTAATTAAAATTTAATTAAAAAATTAAAAAATTATTTTATTAAATATTAATATTTAAATTTAAAAACTAATTATATTAAAATATATAATAGGTTTTCAAATTTATATATTAATATTTAATAAAATAATATTTTAATTTTTAAATATAAATTAAAACTCTAATTATTTTTTAAAATGAGAATTGATTCGCTTTTTTATTGTAATAACAAATTAATATGAAGTACTTGCTTAATTCATGATTCAAGCAAAAACGTACCATCTTTCTTTTCCCAATGAGAAGCACAAAAGTTGGACATGAATTAATGGTGAATTAGAAACAGTTACATTCTTCGTGTAACTATGAAGTACCCTCAAGCTTTAGCTTTTCTTATTTGATGTATCAATATATATATATATATATATAATATATATATACATAGAAAACTATTTTACAAGACGACTCTGTCTTGTAAGATTACTTAAATACTATTAAAATCTGTTTTATATTATTTTTTAAAAGTATTTAAATAATTTTAAATGATTGACTGTATACAATCTGTCTTATAAAATAATATTCTAATATATATATAAGATAAGCATTAATATGTATTATAAAAATTAAATAAAAAATATCTCAAAATTATATCTTTTTAATAAAGTGTAATTTAAAAAATAAAATATCTTAATTTTTAAAGTAAAAACAAAATTATTTTAATTTTTTTGTGATATTTTAACAAAATAACATAATTTTAAACTATTTTTTTACCTGATCTTTTATAAAATTGACTAATATGCGCTAAAAACTGGATTGTGCTTATGTAGTTGAATTTGTATTATATACACTTACTATTATTTTTTATTTTACATCTTAAAAATTAATCTCTTAATATTATAAAAAATTAAATTTCTTAATTTTAAATTAGTAAATAACAAGAGTCAAATTCTTACATTACTCTTATCATTTCCATAAAAGAGAAAAAACCCAATCAAATACTATTTATAGACGTGCGTGGTGATGTGAGGTTTACTAGCATAAGATGAAAAATGAAATGGGAGGATTACGGCGCCAACGATGCAAAGTAGATAGCTAGACGCCGGAAAATCCAGACCTGTTTAGTTTTTTTTTTTTTTTTTCGATGAATAAAGATTAACTTACATGTTATATTTATATAAAATTTTAATGATTTATTTCTTTATTTTTAGTAATTAAAATTTATTATGATTTTTTAAGTGAAAAATAATAAATATAATAAAAAATAAATAAATCTTAATTATAGTAAAAAAATAATTAATTAAAATTTTATATAAATATAATGTGTAAAATTTATATATAAATAGATCTCTAGTCTTTTTAAATATTAACAAATAACCTTATAAGTAAAACATTTATTGACAATATATTTTTAAAAATAAATTATCTATTGTACAATATAGATTGTATTGGACAAAGAACTATCTTCGTATTTAGGAAGCTCTTTCTAATTTATTGGGTTAAAGTATTTGAGACTAAATTTACAAATAAGGAATTTCCAGTTTTATAGCCCAAGCATTGAATAGAAGACTAATTCCACGTTTAGGGGCCTTCCACCGTGTAATGTTTTTGAAATATTTGAGATTAAAATGTGACTTCGTTTTTAATAATTTTTTTGAACGTATTACCACTTAAAGAAGGGGATTAAAACTTTAACTTTAAGGTTGGGCATACTTTACAATGAGACATACTTTACAATCAGACATATAATTATCGCTTGCGAAATTCAAGTGTAATTCTTTTTTTAATAATTTAAAACTAAATTTTCAAAAAAATAAAATATGTACCTCATAAAAAAATTAAAATATATAATATAAAAATTAAAAACACCATAAATCATATCGTTTGTTATAGCGCCCTACCCAAAACTGCAAAAACGTTTCCGTTATAAAGTCAACGATGATCAAGTAAATAAACCTCACAGGGTGACAGAAAATTTCAGAGGTACCACACAAAAACCTAAAGCCAATGACCAGAAAATAAAAATAAAAATAAAAATAATCAAATCTAAGGTATTTTGTTGTTGTGGGGCTTAGAGATGTTGAAGGTTTTTGGCAATTTAACGAGCAAAATTCCTCGGTAACCTGGACCAATCTCCTTTTGCCAGGGGATCGCTATGGTCTCGGTTTCGTCGGCCAGAATGGAGAGAAAGACCCTGGTTCAAGCGGTTGTGTCCGACGAACTACGTGGGGTGACACAGGGGGATTCTGGGTCAGAGAGTTTGGCGGACAGGCTGCGGTTGGGTAGCCTAACGGAAGATGGGTTGTCGTATAAGGAGAAGTGTATTGTGAGGAGTTATGAGGTTGGGATTAACAAAACTGTCACCATGCAGACTGATATATGGTAAATAAATAAGGCATGTGGGACCTAGATGATGATATGGCTGCCAAGTGGGATTAATTATATGTTGTCGTTTTATGTTATGTCTGAGGTCGTTTTGGATAGAGTTAGGTTATTTAGCAGTTTTGTGTTTCATTTTTGAAGTAGTTCACAAATTTGTTCTTCATCATCTACTATCCTTTATCCTCTGTAATCTTCCATGTGAGAAACTATCTGTAATCCTTGGGTTTCAAAGTAATATATGAGGAATATATCGGAAATCTTTCTTTCAATTTCTATTAGATTTCCCCTGTATTTTTTCTAGAGGAATTTATCGAGAGCTAATTGGGGCTTTCCTTATTTTTTGTCACTTATCTTTCATTTTATCTGCATCAATGGGTATCAGAGCACATCCTTCCTCGGACATGGCAGAGATTCAAATTCAGGACAGTGCAGATCCTTGGGCACATTTAGTGGCCTTGGGAGATCTGGCGGCATTAAAGCAAACAGGTACAGTGAGCGGATTTACGGAGCAATTTGATCTTGTCTTTCACCAAACGACACTCACTGAAAAGCAAGCAGTGTGTTTCTTTGTTGACGGATTAAAGGAAGAAATCCAGCCAACTGTGAGGTTATTCAAACCCCAATCCTTGTATGATGCATATTGCTTGGCCTTCCTACAAGAATCTTGCTTGGAAGACGTTCAAGGAATAGCTAACACCCCGAAACCCATACTTGAACAACAAGAAATCCCGCGAGCCGTAGGTGAAATTGCGCAAGTGGCGGAAGCAGAGCAAGAGAAAACCACCGCCGGAGAGCGAGATAAATTGGCAGCTGTGGAACTTGACCAGAAGCTGCCACTGGTGACTCCTATTGCTGATGATGGTTTCCCGATATCCTGTGAGGTTGCCAAAGATGAACCCACAAACGAGTCCGCTGGAATGGTTCAAAATCAACCGCCTGCCTTAGAAATCGCGCATGCAATGGAAGGAGAGAGTACATTGTTGTCTCAAGGAGACCAGGTCGTGGAGATTGAACAGACTTTCGGGGAACTGAACTCTTCTACCCACAAGCTGTTCGATGAAATGCTTGAGTTATCTGGACTTGAAACAACATCAATTTCTAGGAGACAATATACAGATAGATTGAAGTCATGGTGCAAGGAAAAAGTTCATGAAGATTTTGATCCTACTTTGGTTACGTTGGGACAAAAAGGAATGGCAGATGAATATCTAGAACCATTAGCTCTGTTATTTCCCAAGCCAGGCCTGTCAATATCTCTATCACTTACTGGTATAAAAGCTTTTGTCAATTGTGATGGAGGCTCACTCACTAGGCCTGAGGGAATGATTGATTTACTCGGCATGGAGGTGGCTTGGAATGCTGACAAGAAGTCATCTAAGGGAGGTTCTGTTCATGGCCATTTAGTGCAGGACGATGTACTTGTCAGTGTGAACTGGAAGGTAATTATTCAAATTCTGAAATTGGACTCCATAATTACTGGCAACCAGAATCTTGAGTCTTGGAGTTCTCTTGAAATGAATCCTTTGAGTTTGATTTCTAAGCATGTGGCGTGGGCATGGGTTCTACATGAGAATAGGAATGTTGGCTTTTGGAATGTAGAATCTAGATCTAAGACTACAGGGAACAGGTTGTATCTTTATTAGTATATGTAGGACCTAATTCTAGAATTTTGATAAAGCCATACACAATGTCAGAAGTACCATCAAGCTGCTATGTTGTCATTCCATTTTGGGATGTCGGCGAGGAAATGTATGGCATGTGTTTGAGTTTCTCATTCATAATGACCTGCATTTGGAACTTGCATATTGTCACTCTTTACACAGATTTTTTATTTTTTCCAAGTGGAAATTATGGCATGGCATTAGGGAATGATGTTATGCAGGACTTCATTACATTGATAATGGAATTTGCAAATGGACAGAAATATTTCTCTAAAAGCTTTCCTTGTGAGAATTTAAGGGGTTTTGGCTCTTTGGAACATGATGTAGCTAATGGCAGATTCTTCAATTGTCCTTCTATGTGTGAATTTATATGGTGGCTAGAATATAAGCTTTTCCACAATGATATTCAGCTCTCACTTGAGGACAGTTCTAATATGTTATTGCATGGGCATGTAAAAGATTTGTCTTGGGTTATGCCTATTAAATCTGTGGGAGTTATGTGTTAGGGTGAAGAGGAAGTTGTCAATCTTAATATTATAGCCTTGCTACAGAAATTCATTGAAAGTTTTGGGCAAACTCAAATCTCAGGCAGGAAGACACTGGCTTTCCTTACTCAGCTGACTACTGTTATACTCACTGAGCGTTCTGCCATTTCTTCACCAATGACTACAGTTGTTCTGCATAGAAAAATGGTGGATAAAGGTGGGAGAGCAAAATTAAAAAGTGTTCCAATGGCCAGTCGTCTATTGGCAAATTCCACCTGGAAGGACTTTCACATTTTGTTGCTTCAATACATGAAATTCCATACTTGGAGGAATGATTCATCTAATTATGGAAATGCAACATGGGTAGTCTCTTTTGATTTGGTAGCTATTTCCCACATTTCCTAATGAGACTTATGTTGAATCTTTGAAACCGGATGTGGTTCATGGAAGCACTCTAAATTGTTTCCACATGTGTCAAGGGTTTTTATGGTGGCTTGAAGGCAGGCCTTTCTACACTGTTATTCTAGTATTACTCTTGGACAATGGTTCCTTGATGTTGGATGTTGAAACTCTCAGAATTGCCTCATGGAACTCCAAGATTTTGCAAATGAGATTGTACTTTGGAAGAGTTACAAAGGAAGCCTACAAGCTGGTCCTTCTTTATTTGTTGTTGTTGGCTTTCCAACTGGAGATAAGGTTAAGTTTTCATGCTCCATTATATTTAGTTGCACCAATGGGGCTTGCTTTTACTTGTTTATTGGAGCTCACAATCATTTTGCATAGAAAGATGGTTGATAGAGGCAAGGGATTAATTCAATAATCCAGTGCATAATCCAAGGGTACAACTAGAGAGCATTCTACATGCTCTACTGCTGAAGTTTCTAGTATTTCATCCTTGAGGGCAAGGATGTTCTGAAGCGAAAGGGAATGATATGTGGTAAATAAATAAGGCATGTGGGACCTAGATGATGATATGGCTGCCAAGTGGGATTAATTATATGTTGTCGTTTTATGTTATGTCTGAGGTCATTTTGAATAGGGTTAGGTTATTTAGCAGTTTTGTGTTTCATTTTTGGAGTAGTTCAGAAATTTGTTATTCTTCATCATCTACTATCCTTTATCCTCTATAATCTTCCATTTGAGAAACTATCTGTAATCCTTGGGTTTCAGAGTAATATATCGAGGAATATATCGGAAATCTTTCTTTCAATTTCTACTAGATTTCCATTGTATTTTTTCTAGAGGAATTTATCGAGAGCTAATTGCGGCTTTCCTTATTTTTTTTTCACTTATCTTTCATTTTATCTGCATCAGAGACCGTTGCTAATCTCCTGCAGGTATTTTAGTCTAGTTTTCGTTGAATTAATTAGATTTGAATTTGACTGTAAGATATGCTTATGCGTCTGCGTGAATTTTATGTTCTTTGGCGTTGGGATTTGGGTTTTGTAAGCTAGGTCGCTGCTAAGTATTACGAGTTTGGGCTTGACAGTGTAATTCTAGGATCTTTAATTATATGTGTAGATCATTGTCTCTCTACAAATGAGTTGTCAGGCTGTTTTTTTTTTTTTTTCTCTAAATTCAAATTATTAGTAAGTAGTTATTAATTTTCATACTTGTAATTGGTATTCAAATTCGAACTATTAGTAGTAGTAAATTTTCATACTTATAAATCACTCATAATCTCTCTTTTCCAAATTGAGATTGAGGCATCACAATTGTTTAGAATCATGAGTTACGTTTTCTTTACTTTGGTTCATTTCCATGATGGCATGAGTTGAGATCATAATATTTTAAATGATATGAATGTGACTAATGAAAATTTTAGTACGTAGCTTCACAGCAATCTCAGAAGTTGGTTCTACATTGCAGGAAGTTGCATGCAACCAAGCACAATGTCTAGCTAGGGTTTTCTAGAGATGGGTTTGCAACGACTTCAATCATGAGGAAATTGCATCTTATCTGGGTAACTGCATGCATGCACATCGAAGTCTACAAATACCCGGCTTGGTATGTTTATGGGACATTAATTTAATAATCTTTCATCTTTTGGTTTTGAAGGCAATGATTTCTCTAACTATTAAAATTTGGTTATGAGATGTAGGAGTGATGTGATTGAAATAGAGATATGGTTCCAAGGTGAGGGGAAAATTGGAACCAGACGAGACTGGATTCTAAACGACTTTGCAACTGGCCAGGTTATTAGAAGAGCCACCTGGTGGATTTAAATTTTTGTGCTCAGGTTTTTCATGTCAATCATTACTTTATAAGAATAGCAAGATCAGAAATCTAGTGAGCCAATAGTTACTATGGTAAACAACTGTCCATGATGAAAAATTAGAGAAATTGAAATTAAAAGTATACATTGGATCAATTAGATATTTGTGAAAAAGAACAATGAATAGTATACTTTTTAGTTTAATATACTCTACACTATAGTCATTAGGGAATTATTATTTTTAAATTTAAACTTAAGATGAAAAAACTTTCAATTACATATTTTAATATTTAAATCAATAGATGTTGACAAATGTATTAAACTGAATGGTGTATCAATTATTTTCCTCGTGAAAAATTATTTCAATGGATGAATTGTCCCACTTTCTTCCATATTTTTGTGGTTTTTCTGTTCATAATATGGCACTTGCATCCTAAATTAAGATCAACATTGACATTGAAAGTACACATTGAAGATTACCTTTGCTAATATTGAACTATTGTTTGCTTTTATTGTTCATTATCTAAGTTCATTCCGAAGATAATTATATACACCATATGATTTCAGCAAGTGGGTGATGATGAACCAAGACACCTTGAGGCATAGCCTAAAGGGTGCAAGTCTTTTACGCAATGTTATTTTCATAGGAAGTTTAAGAATTAGTTTAGTAGTTGGACTTATTTAGTACTTTTAATAATTTTAGAAACTTTACTATTATTTTCGTATTTAATTTGGACCTTGGGTTTGTCCCCTATAAATATTCTTGCTACGACATTATAATCGGTTTTGATGAATTGAGATAATTTTCCCAGCCCTAATTCTCTATTTCTCTACTTCTATTTCTCTCAAGTTCTACATCAATTTGGTATCAAAGCCACCAAAAATCCCACAATTCAAATTCCTTGAAAAGAAAACCCTATTGCTGTAATGATTTCATAGCCATCCCTCAAAATGAAGAGACATCAGGTGCTGGGTTCTTCTATCCTAAGTTGAGAATTCGCAAGTCATGTTCGCTTTCAACTTAGCATAGCCCAGATTCAATCTACTGTTCAAACTCCCATCTAGACAAGTCTCTTTTGGACAGGTTTGTGGGTCAATTCTACCTTATTGGGGTACTTATATTCTTGTTGACAAGAGGATTGAATTGGTTTTGATTGGTGGTCAGTAAATTTTCTTGTTTCAAGTTTTCCTTTATTTGCTCTTAAAGAAAAAAAAAAAAAAAACAGTTTGACCTTGCACTTTACTAGCATTAGATTGACTAGTTTTATTGTGTTCATCCAGTTAATTTAGATTGGTATTATTTCTTGGCATTTTAGTTAATCTCAGCATCCCTATTGCATTGAAAAAAAAAAAAAAAAGCTCATATTCTCAAATTTTATATCAATTTCCTTTATCGCCCATCATGTCCCATTCCCCAAAAGACAATCAAAGGCCAAAACTACAAATTGAAATGGACTCTTTAAAGGGTGAGGTGACTAAACTTGAGGAGTATGTAACTCACCTAGAGAGTAAAGTTGTCCATTTAGAACAAAATTTGGGTGGGATACATATAACCATGGGTGAGTTAGAAAAGTAACTTGGTAAGCAACAATTCAATGGGGAAGGGGAAACCAAACCACAACCAAGGTTTCAACACATAAGTAGTTCATTCCAACACTTGTTGTCTTGTCCCAAAGGCCCTTAGTCCAAACCACTTAGGCCAGCTCTCAGAGGAATTTACATTAATGAGTCCACTTTCTCAAATGAGTCTAGGAACTTTTATGACGAGGAGGGGGTAGAGCAACCAAGTCTAAAGGAGTCCACCTTTGATAGGTCACCAAACACGAGCAGGAGACTACCTTAGCAAGAGTACAGTAATGACATTCATAGGATGGTTAAGGTAGATATGAGGAGTTTTGAGGGTAAACTAGATGTGAATGACTTTTTATATTGGTTGGCAGAATTTGAGGGTTATTGTACCTTTTGTAGGATGAATGATGTAGAAATGATACGTTTTGCTAGGTTGAAATTAGTGGGAGCCACTGAGACATTGGAAAGGAGTTAGTCAATAGTTAGAAACCTTAGGAGAGCCATTAATTATTCAATGGATGGTGATGAAAACTAAACTTAAGAAGAAATACCTTCCTCATTTTCATAAGAGTCGCCTATATGACTAGTACTTAAAGCTTATGCAAACTTCTACTATTCAGGATTATGCAAAATAATTTGACCTTCTCGTTCGAGTGAATCCAAATGAGGAGTCACTTTATATTGTTAAAAAATTCATCCATGGGCTTAGGGAGTATATTAGAAGGGATGCAAAGTTATCTTCACCTAGAACAGTAGATGAGGCATTTCAAAAAGCTTTACTTATTAAAAAAACTCCTAGAACATTCACTCAACGTAGGTCAAGCATGACGTCTAGTACTTCAGTCTTCAGTCATTAGTAGGTCTATCTCCTTGATGAAATCTACTCCTTTGGTTGGAACCAATAACAATTTATCAAAACCAAGTAATTCTAGTGCTCCTAGTGCGTCTAGTGGATCTAGTACTTCATCAATTCAATGCTTTCATTGTAAGGGTCGAGGTCACATTGCTTCTGATTGTCCATATCGTACTTTGACTTTAGATGTAGGGCATGACACATCATTAGTTGAGCGAGAGCCCTCTTTAGATGACCAGATAGTAGATCTAGTTGAGTATTCTAGAGATGAGGATGAGTTTATAGAAAACCCACATGTTAATGTAGTTAGGTGTGTTTTGTCTATTGTCTAGCCTAGGGAGGAATGGAAGAGGACTAGTATCTTTCATATCTATATCAGGTGTAATGAGAGATCTTGTTAACTAGTCATAGATGGAGGTAATACTATGAATGTTGTGTCAAAAGCTGCTATACGTAGGTTAAGTCTTAAGCCTGAACCATATCCTACTGCTTTTAAATTGCATGGGTTGATAAGACCACCTTACCAGTTAGTGAGAGATGTTTGGTTCCTATACAAAGATGTGATTATAAAGACTTCATTTATTTTGATTTGTTACCTATGGATGCCGCTCATATTCTTTTAGAACATCCCTGGTTGTATGACTTGGATGTAACTAATCATGGTAGAGCTAGCACCTTTGAGTTCTTATATAAGGGTAGAAAGATCGTCCTTACCCCTACCAAACCTTCTGTGGATGCTGGATCCAACCATGTCACTAAACTATTATCTAAATCCTCATCACAAGATCCACCTAAGCAATCCATCCACATTTCAAGTCATAGAGCTTTTGAAAGGAAAAGTTTGAAGAGTTCGTAGTTGTTTGCATTGGTAATTAAAGATAGCTCTAATATACCCACTGAACCTAAATCATCTTAACCTATAAAGGTTGAACCCTTTTTGCATGAATTTAGTAATGTGGTACCAAATTAGCTTCTTAACCAGTTACCACCTTTGAGAGACATCCAGCATACCATTGATCTAGTTCCAAGATCTCAGTTGCCAAACCTACAACACTATAGGATGAACCCTAAGGAACAAGAAGAGTTGAATAGGCAAGTTAAGAAGTTGCTTGCGAAAGGATTTGTTAGGCATAGTCTTAGCCCCTATGCTGTGCATGCTTTGTTAACACCGAAAAAAGATAGGTCCTAGAGGATGTGTGTTGATAGTTGTTAACACTAAAAAATAGAATAGATGGTGTGGAATCGAGATCTTTATTGTTAGCGAGAGTTTACAATGAAGAGAGAATAGAGATGAAAAATAATCTACCTCCTTAGGTTGATCCCAGAGGTATTTATACAATGCTTAAATACAGTTATTTTAGGAATACAATTTTATTTAATTGGTGTTTGGGGTGTTCTTATTCTAGTGGGATTTATCCTAGCCAACTTTGATAAGACTATCTCTAGAATGTCTCCACGTGTCCTGATGCTCATGTGACTTGATTTAGGGTATAACATTTGCCCCCCCACGAAGAAGTTTGAGGGCAGCGAAAACTTCAACGGGTCTCTCTTTCTTATTGTTCTGCTGATCTTGGTTTTGAATTCTGCGCAAGTTCCAGCTTTTTCAACCGTGGCTACGTCATTAAAAACCTTAACTAGAAAAAACCCTATGGGATAAAAAATCTAGCTTAAGGAAAAAAGAGTGCAGCGCATGTTTTTCCTTCATGATTCCTGGCATAGTTTTCTCATTCAAAAATATTTTTGTTGAAATTAATTGTTCTGTAGATTTGTGTTGATTTGTTCAGGCCCTTTCTTGATTTTTTCATATCTCCATAGTTGCATTTCCTGGATTTCCTGCTTCTTGTGCAGCTTTTTATGCACATGGCCCCCATTGTATGGTTTATTGGTACGACAGGTCCTTTCAAGGTCAAACCCCTATTTCCTTGGGATTTTATGCAATTTATCCTTTTGGCTTTCAAATGGAGCTTTCTTGGGTTTCCCGATTCTTCTTTTTCTTTTTTGTTTGACTACTTTTTGATTTCTTTTTGTTTTCTTTCTTTTTTTCTTTCTTTTTGCTTTTTCATTTTCTTCCTTTTGAGAAAGACTTCTTTGATCTTGTGACCCAATCATGTCGGTTGTCTATGATGGTCATTAATCCTTCTGCTTCCAGCTTTGTTCCGATCCTTGCTTCCGTTGGTTCTTGCATTTTCTTTCTTCTTCTTTGCCATTTTTATGTTTTGACGGAGGGGAATCCTTCAAAATCCGCTATTATGGCTCCAATTGCTCGGGATATTGTTGAGATGGGGGTGGATCCCATTGTCATAGGTGATCTTAGAAATTTCTCCTACTACTATCGAGGCCATGACAATTTCTTTTTCTGTTGTTGCTAGTTTTTCCCGTTCTTGCCTTTGTTGGTTCAAAAGTGAGCCTTTCTTCTTCCGAATCTAAGTGTTTTGACATTTTCCATTTTCCTAGCTGGTTTGTGGTGAAGGATGCTTTATGTCATGTAGGGAGGAATCCCATGACCCTTCCTTTTCCAATGGAGGTTCTTACGATTTTTTCTCCCAAGCCTGTCTTCTTAACTAAAGAGAGAGCAGTTGGTCCTCCAACGCCTTCAGGAGCGCTGCATCTAAGAACAACACCACCTTCATCGCCTCAATCCTTCTATCTCCGGCTCCTCCAAACCCTCCCCCAATTCCAACTACCAAGATTGTGAAAGGAGGTGAGACAGGGAACGCTGCTCGGAATGCTACAATTGCCAACATGAGGAGGAAGCCAAAGAGCGTAAGTGTGCGTGGTTGGAGAAATTGGCGGATCGAGATCGTGAGATGGAGTTGAAGGTGATTAAAGAACAATATATTGGATCAAAATCCTCACAAGGCCTAGCTCAAAGGTTTCGAGCCAGAGTTGACCGAAGGGAGCAGAGAAAGCTTGCTGCCAAGAATGTGAGAGAGATGTAGTCCCTTGCTAAGTTGATTGTGCTTGATCGCGTCTCTAAGTTTGAGAGCATGGATGTTGTTGTGTAGGTTTAAGCTGATCCAAAGTTGAAGAAAGTTTATGATTAAGGTTCAACGCATGTTCCTTTGGGCAGATCTCTGGTTGAAGTAGAGTAAGGATTGGGCAGCTTTTGAGGATGCAGAGGATTCTGTTATAGCTATTCATAGTTGGAGTAGTTTTGTGAATGCGGAGGTTGTCAAGGTACCCCTTCTCTCTAAATGCTCAACTTTTCAGACCTCTTGTTGAACCTGCATATAAGAACATTTATTTTTGAAAAAACATTTGGGTTGTATTGTTTTAATTCCATTCTTTGAATTTGCTCAGGTTTATGATGCTGGTTCTCATTATCCATCTGTTTTTCGCAAGTCATTGGTACTTTGGATTCCCGCTGCTTGCATGCTAAGGTTGATCTTATTTAGATACGAGGGAAGAGAAAAGGTATGATAAACCTGTGTTGTCAGTTTAAGAATGTTATGATTTATTAAAAAAGAAGAAAGAACTTATCTCTTTTGTTGCTTTTGTCTTGAATCGTCCAATTCTGCTTATCAACAATTGAATGAGCTAGCTTCAAAGATTTTGCTTTAAAAAGCTCTGTTTCTAACTTGAGTTTTGGTTTGAAATTTGCATTAACCTCTGTTGTGCATCTTGCATAGCTTTTGTCAGGGTATTTATGTACACCCAAAGCTTGCTCGCCACCTTTTGCTTGGGTGTTTATGTACACCCAAACTTACTTATAGCTTTCGTTTGCCTGTGTATCTTTTGCTTAGGTATTTTATGTACACCCAAACTTGCTCGCAGCTTTTTGCTTGTTTGTGTAACTTCTGCTTGGGTATTTTATGTACACCCAAACTTGCTCATAGCTTTTTGCTTGTTTGTGTAACTTTTCTTGGATATTTAATGTACACCCAAACTTGCTCATAGCTTTTTGCTTGTCTGTGTAACTTCTGCTTGGGTATTTAATGTACACCCAAACTTGCTCATAGCTT